AAACCCAAAAATAAATTAGGTTAGACCATAAAATAACCAAAATATCTAATATATACATATGCATATTTTTTCATCTATTTTGGTTCATATCTAACTCAACCCAATTGATTTTATTTATTTATTTATTTACAATTTATAGAGTTTTATCATGATTATTACAAATCCAATTAAAAAAATTTATAATCATACATGCAAAACTTCTTTCACTACTTTTTTAAATATAAGAAAATTGCTTCAAAACAATAAAAATTCAATTATTTTAATAATATTCAGGGCCGTCTCGGAGTTTTTTTAGGCCCTGAGCTAAAATAAATTATAGGCTCTACAAATACATTATTAAAATATATTTTTAATAATATTGTTGATTGACTTTGATTAGACAAGAGGTTGAACGTGACCGTTTGAACAATGTAAATTTGAGAAAAAAGATAAAAGACGGTTTGTCTGAAAGTTCGAAAAGTAAGAAGGACTGAAGGAGGGTGAAGAAAAAGTGAGGCAGTTTTGATCGAGTTGCTGGGGTAGGTGTAAGGTAAAGAAGCGTAGACGATTAGAAATAAATAAAATATATATATATATGATTAGAAATTAAAATTTAATTTTAAAATTAAATATGATAATTACGAAGAAAAATATATATAAATTAAAAGTTAAAATTTAATAATAATAATAGATAATATAGGCCCTGAGCAGTTGTTCCCCCTGCTCCTGCTATGAGCCGCCCCTGATAATATTCATCCTCAAAATGATACGGGGCAGGTGAATCCAACCCTTATACCATCAGGCCATCCCTTACGGACCTATTCGTTCAAATACTTGTTAACATGACCTATGATTTTTCAAATTAGAGCTAATTAACATTATATCATCAATATAAATTAATAAAAAAATATATATATATATTGTTATAGTAATTTTAAAATGCAAACAGAGATCAAATTGATTTATTTCAAAATTTAATTATTTTATGGGCTCATCAAATTAATATTCCACTGTTTAAAAAATTATTGTATATCAAGAGTAATTTTTCAAAAGGCGTACATTTCTTATCAAAATTTATACTCCCTCCGTCCACAAACTAACGTCCTATTTTCCTATTTGGAATGTTCAATAATTATTGTCTTCTTTCCCTTTTTATATACAAAATTTACTCTTTTTACCCTTTCTTTATTTACTCTATTTACTCTTTCATTTTCTATACACAAGATTAAAGACAAATTTATCATTTTATAACAAAAACCCTAATTACCTAAAAATACGTATAAATATCAAATAGGACATTAGCGAACGAACGAAGGGAGTATTTCATTGTCTAAAAGATTATTTTAAACCATAGAATAATTTTTTATTATCAAATCTTTCTTTATTTAAAAAACCGTCAGATTCTTGTAACAAAAATTGCAGCCAAATTTTTATATTTTTGGACTTGCCTGAGAATAATCAGACCTCGACAAAGTCGAGGTGGGTCAACTCTAAAGACCGTCAACGTCGAATAATTTATTTATTTATTTTATAAGAATAATACAAATGATGCTTTTTTTTGGTTCATTTATAACCACATCTTGTTTATTCTATTTAAGGGTGTGTTTGTTCGAGGAATTGGATTTTAAATATACTATTCATTCTATTCTTTTTATCAAAAAATATTAAATCAAACATTTATTTTTTATTTTTAATATTATACTAAAAATCAATTTTACATTCAAAATATCACATCATATAACTATTCAAATTAAAAAATTTTACTATTCAAATCCCAACTCAAAATTCAAACTCCCAAACAAACACACCCTTAATAATTTATTATACTCCCTACGTCCCATAACTATGTATCCATTTATTTTTTGCACGGAATTTTAGAAATATTAGTATTATATTGAAATGTAGTATGAATAAAGTAGAAATGACTAAAATAACCTTATTAGTATTGTGTGATATAAAGGTAATGACATTTGTGTAATATATTGTAAGTTGAAAAGATATTTGCAATGTTAGATAAATAGTACAATTACTAAAAAAAAAAAGAAAAAGAAAAAGAAATGAATACTTTGTTATAAGACGAACTAAAATGAAAAAATAAATACTTTGTTATGGGACAAAAAGAGTACTTATATAATAATAGCAACATTTCGACTATATTCTTTACTTTGATTTTAATTTTCAATTTTTTCCTATACAATCATTACTATTTCTTATAAAAATATACATTTTTCATCTGTCAATTTTACGTCAACTTTCTTATTCTTTCCGTAAGTATAAAACTGACGGATTGATAAAGTATTATTTTTTTACATAAAATTACTATTAAAATATAAAATACAACCAACAAAAACACACAATTTCATCCATATCATATTATAAATGATAACTTATAAATTTCTATATTAAAAAATTATATAAAAATATTGAAAATTTGAGTGAATATGCATGAAAAGGTGTAAAGAGGAATAATATGTTTGAATTGAAGTATTTACCAAACAACAAAAATAATATAAAGGGAATGGAATATAATTAAAGAGATGACATAAAAGGAAAACATTCATCTTTAAATTCAAAACATTATTATAATAGAAATTGACATTTTGCAAAATAAAATAAAATTAACTAATTTGAAAAAGAAGAAGCCAATTTCAATATACTTGTATCAGTTGGGGGTTGGGTTCAGCAAAATGTCCGGAATCCGAATATCTGATCCGAATCAAATCGAAATTTAAAATTTAGTTCGAATTTTTCGGATTTTCGGATCGGATCGGATCGGATTGGTATACTAAAAATTCGATCCAATCCGAAATCCGAATTATAATTTATTAATATTTTATATTATGTATTTAATATTATAATAAAAATATAATATTTTATTATAAATATAAAAATTACTAATTACTAATTACATATTAATATACTTCATTATTATTTATTATTTTATTATGTAGATTTATTAAATATTATGTATAAAAATCTGATTTTGTTTTTTTTTTAAATATTAATTTTTTTTTTAAAAAGAATTTTTTGGTTTGGTTCAGAATTTTTCATCCGAATTTTGAAATTTAGATTTTTTTTATTTTTTTATTTTTCAGATTGGTTCGGATTTTCTAATTCGGATTTCAGTTAATTCAGTTCGGTTCAAATTACCTTTTTCAAAAATTTCGGATTGATCCGAACTGAAAATCCAAATTCTCACCCATTGCATGCAGTTATATAATAAAAATATTCAGATATAATAAATACCCAGTTAATTTAATTATTACAAACATATTTTCATTTGAAGTTTGTTTTTTTCTAAAAAAAAAAAAAAATCAATTTAATATTGTTACCTGATAATTTCATAATTTTTTTCATTTAAAATACATTATATCAAATATTTACTATTTAAATATAAATATATATATATATGATATTTTAAATTGAGCTACAAATTTAATGAAATTCAATTACAATATAAATTTTAAAACTTATAATGGTCCAGTACATTTTTTCATTCTTTTAAAATATTTAATTAATCATTTATAATTTTTTAAGCAAATTATGAATTTTGGATATTATTTGTTGGATAATTTTTGGAATGCAATAATATATATATATTTTTAACAAAAATAATTTTAAAATATAATTAAATTATTTAAAAATTATATTTCAATATAAATATACTAATATAAACATTATTGATGGAGAATTATATATCTTCCATAACATATGACTAACATAAGTCAATTATAAATAATAATAATAATAACTTATAATGTGTATAAATATATATAAATATTTAATAATATAAAATTATAAATGGGTCTAGTTTTAAAAATAAATAAATAAATATTAGCAAATATGTGAGATAATTAATTTCGAGAAGATATGCATGATTTATTACATCAGTTTCATTTATTATTATTATTATTATTATTATTATTATTATTATTTGTATGTATAAATTCAAAATAGTTCTTTTAAAAATATAAAATATTACTCTCTCCGTCCCAGATACCATGTCCACGTTGCCGTTTTTCTTCGTTTCACATACCATGTCACTTAATTTTTTGGAAAATGATTACACACTTTAATCTCATTTTAAATTTTTTAATTTTTTTTTTAATTTTAATTAAACTAATTAGTTATCTTAATCTTAATTTATAATTATTTATATTACAGGATAATTATTTTCACTAATACATTCTTAATTATCTACTAATTATATCCTTCCTAAAATACCGTGTCTACGCTGTTGCAGATACGGTATTTGGGACGGAGGGATAATTTGTTTATGTGTTTAGTATATTCTTCTGTATGACATTGACAGACACAATGAACCTTGAAAGCAAAAGAGTTATATTCAATTTTCATATTCTTACACTAAAATATAACTTCCAAAATAACGACAATATATATATATATAATTTTATAAAATAATTCAATAGTATTTAATTTAGAAATATTTGTAAGAAGTCCCTTATCTCAAAATTATCATATTTTTTTTATTTATAAATTCTCATATATTTTCATAATATAATATATATATACACACAAAGCATTAGATAAAAAAAAAAGAAGAAATTAAAATAGAAATATATTTTTAAATTATTGATTATCAAATATATATAGTTTATTCTAATTCTATTTATTTAAATTAATACTCCTATAATTTATTTTTCAAAAAAATTGCACAAAGTATAATTGGATAAGTCCGAAATAAAATTTCATTAAACTATAGTAATTTTATAAAAATAAAAAAACAAAAATCAAAAGGGCTTACTCGGCCCGTCATGATTTCCAATCGGGCCATGCTTGGGCCTATGTTTTCAGATTCGATTTAAATCGCGCCACCCTTGTAAATATAGCGATGAGACATCTCTTACTTGAGGGTTAGGTCCTGATTGAATGATAAAAATGTTCCTGGTAGTATTGTGTAATAAAAAAATAATGATATTTATGTAATATATTGTAAGTTCTAAATATTAGGTAGGTATTACTATTATTGAATTATTACTAAAAAAAATTTTCATTTGCATCAAATAATTGCATGCAATGATCATAACCACACATGTTTTCATCAACCATAATTATAAATCAATAATCACCAAATATTTTCACCAATAATACACACACAAATTTCAATAATATATATATATATAGATTATATAAATAAATAGATCATTAATAATCAGCATTTGATCATGCCAAGAACTTGTAGAACAAAGACTGAAACTTAGCCATCTCCTTAGGAGCCAATGCCACCAACACATTGACGCCGTTGCCGGCGGCGGCGCCGCCGATCTCCGGGAAGAGCAATATTATGTCCTTCCGGCGGTAGACGACCGGGCAGCTATACCGCGGCGTCCCCCACGGATAATCGACCTCGTCGAACCCTAACCGCCACCACGACGACAGCAAAAACTCGCCGTTCGGAAAACCTTTGTACACCTCGCCCCAATCGATCGCCGACCGCGCGTACTCGTCGGTCATCCGGGTCGACCCTTCCGCAACCATGCCGACCAATTTCCCGAACGGCCCGGCCTCGAGCTCGCCGCAATTCGCGGCGGCGTAGGCTGAGAGGACGGCGTTTCCGCAAAATGACAACGGCAACGGCGGCCGGAGCCTCGACCGGATGTCAACGGCGAAGAGGACCATGGATTCGCGGTTGGGGCCTTCGCCGGTCCCGGAGCAGAGGGCCTTGCAGCGCCAAATGTGGGCGGTGACGACGTTGAAGCCGGTGATTTTGGCAGCGCCGCCATCGGATTTCGCCTTTTCTTTTAGAAATCCGATGTCGGCGGCGCTCAAGTTGAAGATTTTGAAATCGAGGTCGTCTTGGTCGGGGTCCGATGGAGACGGCGGAGCTTCTTGGCCGATCGGGAGCTTTAGTTTGAGGAGCTCCGGGTGCGGGAAGGCCACTTGAGGCGGCGATCGGGCGGCGAGGAGGCGGCGGTCGTTGCACGGGACGACGGCGAGGGGCTTGTCGGGAAATGCTTGGGAGGCTAAGTTTTGGAGGAAAGTTTTCGAGCTAAGTCCGTCGAATAATCCGTGGTTCGTCGACAATCCCATTACGAAGCCGCCACATTTGAACGACGTCAGCTGCGACAAAATAGTAAAAAATTTGAATAAAAAATTAATTTTTAATATAACGAACGGAGTAAAATAATAAAAATTTTGAATAAAAAATTAATTTTTAATATAATACGATAATTTTGGAAAATAAATAAAAATTGGGGATTTTAACTTTTTTTTACTATTTAATTCTAATGATTTTTTTCTTAAGAAATTATTTTTTCTAATGAAATATCGTAATGAAATAATTATTTAAATATAAACCAAACAAACGTAAAACATGTGTTTCCTTGTGATTTTTGTCAGTCTTTTATTATTCAATTTAATAAATTTTTTCTAAAAGTATTGTATCGTATATTAATTATTTTATTTAAAATATAGATATTTTACTAAATATTTTTATAATAAAAGAAAAAACACACAAATAAGCATTGCTACTTATAGTTAGCATAGTTAAAAATATAGTTGAAAAACATCATTCAAATAAAATCTTATACTCCCTCCGGCCCATAAGTAAATATCTATTTTCTTTTTGCACGTAATTTTAGAAATATTAGTATTATATTGGGATATAGTAAGAATAAAGTAGAAATGACTAAAATAACCTTATTAGTATGTGTGATATAAAGGTAATGACATTTGTGTAATATATTGTAAGTTGTAAGGGTATTTCTAATATTAGGTAGATAAACAGTTGCTAAAAAAGAAAATAGATACTTTGTTATGAGACGGAGGGAAGTATAATTTTCATGACCAATCATTTATATACATATATGACATTAAACCACTAATTTTCACTCTAAAAAATTGAAATTGAAAACAACTCAAAATACCAAAAACTTTCATATATATATATAAGTGAATACATTAACCATTGCAATGAGAAGTGTATTCTTTTGATTTTTTTTTTTCTAAAAAAAAATAAAAACAGTAAGTTGGATGTAATTTTGTGAAATAATAATAATAATAATAATAATAATATATTTTTATATTAATCACGAAAATTGAATAATAAAATAAAATCAAAATCAAACTTCATAAAGAATAAAACAGCGCCATCGTTCAAAGCGTTTTCAGATAAATTAATTTTATTATTTTTTTTTATGTGTGGTGCTGATAATTGTGTCAAAAATATAAAAATATTATTTTTAAAGTTGAATATTTTAACTTTATGTAATAAGTATTTTAATTTTTTATTTTTACTTTTTTATTTTTATAAAAATTATTTTGTATTATTTATTATTATTTTTTTAGAATCACAATTAAAGATTAGTGTTGGATAAACAAAACCCTTATTTTCGCCCTACATGCAACGTATAATAAAATGCTTTTTTCCTCTAAAGAGCTACCACATGCCTAAGGTTTGGTTAAAAATAAAAAATAAAAAAATAGTGGAGTTTCTTTTATACTCCCTCCGTCCCATAACTAGATACCCGTTTACTTTTTGCACAGAATTTTATAAATATTAGTATTATATTGAGACTTAGTAGGAATAAAATAAAAATGACTAAAATAACCTTATTAATATTGTGCGATATAAAAGTAATGACATTTGTGTAATATATTGTAAGTTATAAGGGTACTTGTAATGTTAACTAGATAATACAGTTACTAAAGAAATGAAATAAATACTTTGTTATGGAACGGACTAAAATGGAAAATTGATAGTTTGTTACGAGACAGATGGAGAATAAAATCATTACTTCAAAATTTATTTTTTTAAGAAAAATCAAAATACTAATGAGTAAATTATTATTATCATTTTTGGTTAGTTGAAGTTTGAATTATAAGTGAGATGTATTATATATCTATATATATATATATATGATTAGTGGGCTATAAGTAGACATTATTTATAACTTTATTGATATATATATATATTATAGGTAGAAGAACTACAAAAGGGCAAAACCCTAATTAGGGTTCATCTACTTTGCTTTAATTTGCTACTCAATAAAATCATTAACCCTCCATTATTGTTATGTTATTATTATGTTTTTTCCCCCTCCATCAAATAAAGGGTCCCCTCTTCTCAAATAAAATAAGTATTATATATTTATTTAATGTGTGTATATATATATTCTCCATCCATCCCATTAAAAGGTTATCATTTTCCATTTTCGTTCGTCTCAAAACAAGATTACTATTTCCTAATTTAGTAATTGTACTACTTCTTTCACATAATAAATATCCTTTCAACTTACAATATATTACACATATGCCATTACTTTTATATTACACCATACTAATAGGGGTATTTTTGTCTTTTTTTACTACAATCCAATATAATACTAATATTAAAAAATCTACGTGCAAAAAGCAAACGGTCACCCTTCCAACGGGACTGAGGGAGTATTATAGGTAGAAGAACTACAAAAGGGCAAAACCCTAATTAGGGCTTATCTACTTTGCTTTATTTTGCTACTCAATTTCTCAATAAAATCATTAACCCTCCATTATTGTTATTATTATGTTTTTTCCCCTCCATCATCAAATAAAGGGTTCCCTATTTTCAAATAAAATAAGTATTATATATTTATTTAATGTATACAACCATAAATGTACAAACATATAATGAAGTTCTACAATAATTAGTAGCCCTTTTCAAATTGAAAGTTATAGGGATGGAAACTTTCAACTAATCACTATAATTATCCCCTCTATAACAAGGTAGTGCAAATAATAGTCTATCTTGTGTTTAAATACATATTTTTTGACCCAAAAAAAAATGATATAATAAAAGTTTTAAGTATTTAATTCGATGTTTTTTAAAAGGGTTGTTATCAATATGAAAAAGATCAAAACTTCCAAAAATACGTGTATAAACATATGGGAAAGAATCGAGAAACATGATTGATGAAAATTGGATATGCACAACAGGTGAAAAGATGAAATGGTGTCATCCATTGCCGAACTAATTCATTTATTATCGAATTTATTGCTACTCGAATAGTAGTTGAAATCAATGATGATGGTTCGGGATGTCAATGGGGCGGGTTCGGGACGGGTTCTGCAGGCCCCGAGACCCGCCCCGCCCCGCTTCCACCCGGCCCCAGGACACGTCCCGCAGGGTTCGGGGCCAACCCTTGCAAACTCGTTTTTTTAAAATATATAATAATAAATATTTTTTTAACAATCGAATACTAAAACAAATAGCATTAAAAGTAAAAAAAAAAAAATCTAAAAATAATCAAATATTGATCCATAAAAATAAGATAAATAAATAAATAATATATTTTTATTATATAAATATAAATATATTAGGTATAATAATTTTCAAAAATTATTTGGAGCAGACGATTAATTGAATTTTATATTTAAAATTATTTAAGTAAATAAATAATATATTCTTTTTATATAACTGTACATATATATTAGTTATAATAATTTAAAAAAATATCCGGGTTCGAGTCCGGGTCCGGGTTAGGGTGAGTTTTTAGTAAAATCCGTAACCCGCCCCGAACCCGGCCGGGTTTAAAATTTTAAATCCACAACCCGCCCCAAAACATATTATTTAGACTCAAACTCACCCCATTAAGAGCGGGTCCGGGGCTAACCCGCCCCATTTGACATCTCTAATGATAGTAGATTTTAATCTTTTTTTTCGCAAAGAAATTCTCTATATATTCTAGCTCATAACTTTAAAAAATCCGGGTTCTTTAAAGTTTGGATTTGAATTATAATCTTGAAAATAATAAAAATTTAATCGTTATAGTAGAAAAACACAAATTTAGATATTTAAATATTAATTATTATATTAATAAGTAGTACAAATAAAAAAAATGACAAAAATATATTTAATAGTCTTTTATAATACAAATACGATGACATTTGTGGAGTAAATTATAGTACAAATTTAAGAATATTTTTAATGTCAAACAATTATGGGACGGTTGGATCATAATCTTGTGAATAAAAAAATAATTTTTAATTTAATATAAAAGCATAAAATATAAATTTAATTTGGTATGTTTTTTGGAGAAAAAAAAAATTAATGAATAGTAAAATTTAATTTAAATTAAAAAAAATAAATCCCACAATTTTTTTTTACAAACCTTCACTTTGTTGCTTTCACAAGATACCACGTATTGATATAAATAAAAATATAAATATTTTTTTACAAAATATTTAAAGAATAACAAATAGTTTAATTATATTTATTTCCAATAACTAACAACAAAACCTACAAAAGGTTTCTGTATTTTGGAGTTTGGTCTTATATTTTAGTATCGGATTTTTGTTTCAATAATGTGATGTTTTCGGAAAAAAAAAAAAAAAAATTACATTTATGTTTTGACTTATTGTAATTAACATTAAAAATATATTTATATAATTTTTTTTTACAAATATTATATTACAAGACACTAATATAAATATATTTTTTATTTTATTTTTTATCATTTAAACCTTAAAAATATCAAAATCACATACCCAAACTAGAAAAAAAGATAAATGGATCAAAGTGTGTGTTTTAAATAACTTAATTAATAATTAAGGAATCTTGAAATTAATTTGAGACAAACCTGAATAACACAAAGTGGCTGATCATCGAACTTCTCAATTCCAGGAACAATGAGCTGCATAAACCCAGGATTCGGATACACCAGATTCCCGATCTCATCAAGGGAATATTCCGTCGCCGCCACCACGAATCCGGCGCCGGCGGCTCTGCTCAGGTCGATCTCCAGCCGGCCGGTTTCCGGGTTCGTCTTGAACCGGCCGGCCACGAAATCGTACGGCTCCTCCATCACTTTCTGCAGCGCAGTTCTGAGCGCCGCCGCGGCCGTCTCCGGCGGGTAGCTCGGGTTGGCCGGAAAGAAGTGCAGAGTTTGGACATGAAAATTGAGGACCTGATCTATGTTGGACAGGAACATGGGGCTGTCGTGATTCCGCCATTGAAGAGGATAAACTAGGGTTGAATCTTGGATCGATACTTTCAGGTCTTGGATCGACGGTACGACGTCGTCGAGGGTTCCCATGCTGTCTTGATATTTTTGTTATTATTATTATTTTTTATTTTATTTTATTTTTTGGAAATTGGTAAGATAAATTTTGATAAATACTATTTAAATGTTTTTTGTTGGTGGGTTTGGGTATTTATATACAGATGAAATGAAGAAGAAGAAGAAAAAGAAGGGTGTACTGTATTTAATGGGGAGGTTGAAAAGTTTGTGGGGTTGTTGTTGATGGGATGTGAATTTTGAACTGTTGGATTTATTAATTATATGTTGTCTTAACTCGTGGGTTAGGGTGATTTTTTTATATTAGATTGTAATAAAAAAGATAAAAATATATCTAAGTTTTTTTTAGCAATATAATATATTGTAAATTATAAGAGTATTTATTACTGACGAAAATAGAAAATAATAACCTTTCAATTGGACGAAAGAGTATTTTATTTCATTTAGTGTGGTGTGATAACAATACATAGATTATTGGCTAATAATATTATCTTCGTTTACAAAATTTGTGCTCATTTTGAGCTAAATACATATTTTAATAAATATATTATTATATTAGTACATTGATTGTTGTTGCGGAACTTTAAATTTTTTTAATTAAAAATTATCAAATATTAAATTTCTATTATTTTTAAATTTTTTAAATTTTTTAAAATTTATCTTTTCTTCATCGTAGTATTCTATTTCTCCTCTTGATTTCAACTTATAAGCAAAAAAGCTTTTTTTTTTTTTTTGTTTGAGTTTCTTCTTCGCTACTAACCTTAAATTTGTGGAATTCTTTCGTGTTTTATATTTAGCAAATGGCCGAGAAATAACCACAAGGACAACTTTCAATAGATGAGCCAGTGGTGATAAGTTTATTGGGGTCTAAACTCAAATCTCATATTGAATTCTTTTAGAGAAAATCCCAGAATAAATATGTGTAAACTCAGCCCAAAACGGACAATATTATACTAGCGGTGAGTTGACTCAATCTTAACAACAACAAAAGAATTTAGTGACCAATTCAATCAGGATGATCGACCGGCAGACGTTGTCCTTGGACCCCACTCGCTGACCAGACAATAAGATCCCGTACAAGTCAACAAAGTACCAATAAAATCAAAACTGATTTCAAATTGGGCTCTACAACATATCAATCTCTCAATTGAAGTTCTTCATCCAAATCATCTCCATAATAGTCTCTGTTACTGCAATGTACTCAACTTTTGTCATCGACAAAGCAACCACATTTTGCAACTTCAAATTTCATGATATTATTGTTCCTCTATAAGTGAACACATATCCAGATATGTTCTTTCTCTTATCGTAGATACTTTTTGTCAAGTCGGCATTCACAAATCCAGCTAATCAAGACTTCATTTTCTCGAGATCAGTGTCTTATCAGTAGTGTCTCACAAGTACCTCAATATCCATTTCACTCATTCTCAATGTTGTCTGATAGAATTGCTCATAAATTGGCTCACTACTCCCACTGTATGTGCTACATCCGATCTTGTACCTATCATGGTGTACATCAAGCTCCATATGGCAGATGCATAGGGAACACTCATCGTCTCAACACGTTCCGTTTCATCTTTATTGAGTCATTGCTAGACAACTTAATATGACTTCCCAAATGTGTGCTCACAGGCTTTCAATACTGCATGTTGAATCTCATCAAGACCTTCTTCACGTATTTTGTCTGCAAGAGACTCAATCTCCTACTATCTAGGTCTCGAATTATTTGTATACCCAAAATCTATTTCGTCTCTCCGAGATCCTTTAACGAAAATATTTTCGCCATTTGCTGCTTCAACTTCACAACTTCTCAAGCACAAGGTCCTATCAATAACATGTCGTCCATATATAATAAAAGTATTATAAAGTGTATTATATGGACATATCTTTTATCGATGTCAAGAATAGTATATGTTGCATGAACTATTTGATATCTGTTGTTCATTTTATATTTTATTTCTTGATACGTGGACATATTTTTGTGCTGAAATTAATGTTAGTATATATTGTAAAGACTATTGATATCAATGGTTAGTTTATATGTTATATTTATATTATATTATATTAATATATATTGTGTTGTTTATTTATACTTCACGGTTTTATGTTAAAAATGTGTGTTGTTGGAACTATAACATCTTTCACCAAAGAATAATTACGGTGTCAAATTAGTATTATGTTATGCTGACAGCAAATGAAATATAATTTTTAGTACATAGTTTGAATTAATACAATACGCGATGTATAGGTTACATGCGTTTCCAGTTCATATTTTTACGTATATTGTTTTAGCATATCTTTTTGTATTAAAATCATAGTTGTGATATGTGAACTATCGAAATGTATTTCTAATTCATTTGTTATATTTCGTATTATCACTACAAAAAAATAGCATATTAGTAACGGAATTCCGTTCCTAAAGTGTGTGTAGTTAACGCAATTCCCTCTCTAATTCCGTATCTAATGTCTTTAGTAACGGAAAAAGGGGATTTAGAGACAAAAAAATTTTGTTACAAAATTGATATTTTTTTGTAGTGTATATTAACATATTTTGTATCGTGAGTTCATATGTTATATTTGATGATGTATAAATAAATATTTAATTTGGTATTTTAAATAAAATTTTGATTTTTATAAAATTATAAAATAAAAAATAAATATTTAATTGGATAATTTTATTTAAAAAAAAAAAACTAAATAAACAATATCAGAAAAAACCACACCTTAAAAGAGAGTTTGTGTATGAGTGTGTTTTTCTCTATTTCTTTTCCTGTGGTATGTTTGTAGCTGTTTCAATCTCCTTCTCATGTTATCCAATTTAGTTTTTAATATATATTTTTTTTTATTATACATATAAGAGTGCTTTAATTGGTTTGAATGTTTTATGTTGTTTTTTTAATAATAAATAAATAAATAAATATGAAATATATTTTTCAGCAAGAACATATTTTATTATAGATTATATATAATGTGGAAATGACTAGTCACGTTAAGGGTGCATTTGGCAATTAGCTGATAGCTTTTAGCTGTTAGTTGATTTAATTAGCTAGTTTGACTAGCTGATTCAATTAGCGATTTGTATTAACGTGTTTGGTAAAACAACTGTTTGACATTAGCTGTTTATACATAAAATGACTATTAAGGACATTGATATGTTTTTTTTAAAAAAATATTTAATTTTGTTCATTTTGATTTGAAATTTATGAAAATTTTTGTTATTAATTATTGAAAATTATAAAAAAAATTATTTTTATTTTTATTATTTAGATCTGAGAAAAATATTTTTACTAAAAAATAATAATTTTTTATTAAAATTTTATAAAATATAAAATAATAAATCTTTCGTATATATATTTTTATAATGTTAATTATTATTTTAATATGTATAAATAAATTAATAACCTTTGTTTTTCTATTTGATTTAGTTTTAAAAGTTTATATATTTTGCAAATAAAATAATTTATATGTAATAATTAATAATAATTATTATTTTAAAGTTACAAAAATAAAAATATAATTTAATAAATTAAATATATTAAAAATAATTAGTAAATACTGCTATAAAAATATATTTATATGTATAAAATAAATAATTAAGTTTTAAGGGTAAATAAAGAATAACCAAAATTAAAATAAAAAATTTTTTTCAAAATGCTGGATAAATGAGCTTTTGAGAAATTAGTTTTTTGAACCCAAAAAAGCTCTTTAAAAAGCTAATTTGCCAAAAACCTAAATTAGTTTTTTGACTGGTCAAACCGCTAAAAGTTGTTTAACTAAAAGCTTTTCAAAAAGCTCTTTCTCAAAACACCCTCTTAATAAAGTATTATGTTCAAATAGTAATTTTTTTCCCTTTTTTAATCATTTTATTTATTATGTAATACTTACAATATTTTATAAAAATATATTATATTCGATCACTATTTAAATATAAAATTCATATTTTTATATATAAAAAAATATATACATCACATCAAATACTATTTTAGTATCAAATAAAAAAAAAATCATACCAAATAAAAAGAAATGTCCACCTACAAAATCATTTATATCTTGTTTCTTGTTGTTTTTCAACATCCTAATTAACCCTATAAATAATGATTTATCATTTTGACTATTAAATCACTCTACCAATGTTAATGGATTTTTTTTTTTTTTTTTTTAATATATTATTCTATTCGTCTTAACTGAAAGTATCTATTTTTATTATTTTTGTTCGTTTTATTTCAAATTATTTGTTTTTTTTTATAAAAATAATTATATATTAATATTAAAATACTTTTAACTTTTATATAAATTATCTTACACACTTTCACCGACTAATTAATAAATTATTGTTAATCTACTATAAATATATAGACACTTTGAGTCGGAATGAAAAATATATATATATATATATTTTTATAGAAATCGCAGTTGCTGAATAGAATTTTTTTAACTAAATTAAAAAGAAATGGAACATTTTGGCATTGTTAATCGAAATAATTTTTTGCTGATACAATTTTTTATACATCACATAAAAATACTTCAAATTAAAATACTAAACAAACACATCTTTTATTAATTAAGCAAGAAGTTATAAAACTACAAAGTGTAGATAAAACTACAAAGTGTAGAGCCAAGGTGTAGCTCAAGCCGTTTAGTCTTTTTTGACATAAAAAAAAAAAAAAAAAACAAAAACAAAAAACAAAAAAAAAAAAAAAATGAAAGGGGTTTTGTGGTTTGGTAATAGAAAAAAATTAAATCGAAATAAAATTTTGATGCAATATAAATAATTATTTGATACTATTATATTTTAAGGGCATGAATCAGCTACAATCAAGTCAGTATGTTATTGATTTGATTGGATCAATATATATTACAGAGGTGACAAATATATATTTAAATATATTTCAGCATACTTATAATATAATATATATTATTCCCGTTCATCCCAACTATTTTTATCAATTTCATTTGTCTCATTTCAAAGTATTCATTTTCTATTTTAAACAAAATTAATTATACACTAGAGCTGGCAATTGGTCGATTCGTGTCGGGTTGAATACTTTAAACGGGTTAAATTACTCAGCTCTAACCCGACCCGTTTATGATCATATCGGGTTCGTGTTGACTCG